TGACAAGCAACCTAATGTTATCTAAGTATCTCAATTTATGTGTTATGAGACTACAAATTGAAATAAAATCAAGATGACACATTTGAAACTACATCAAGCCTAAAGTTACAAGAAAGCAATTATAAGTTATTGAAAAGCTCATGACTTTGTCTCACACTGACATTAAGCACTTTTCTTAAAGTGTTTTTCAGCATGAGATTGCGAGTTCAACTCTTTGCATTAATTTCTTTTATTAGGTGAAAAAATGGGGGGAAAAAAGTCACATTATTGAAAAGAAGATAGGGGGAATGGCAAGTAATGATGTCATTGGAGTATTAATGTTAAGTTAAAATCTTCCCAAATTTATAGCTTTTTTTCTCATGTTTCAATATTAAAATCTTTAAAAAAATCTTAATTTGACATTAATCTTTTTATAAGATTCTTATTTATCATTCTTCTAAGAAAATAAACAAACCCATTGACATATTTATTGCACGCGGCTATATATTCCAAAACTCAAAATCATATAATAAGTTGATAAACACACCTATTGGCATATTTATTGAACATGATTATATATTTTAGAATTTAAAATATTATAGTAAGTTGATTCAATTCTTTGGACCTTATTTCTAATAGAGACAAAATATATTTATAATTCACAATTTAATTATATGAGAGAAAAAAAAGGTTAAAATTTTTTGCTTAGGACCCTAGTGTCCAAGGAGGACCATATCCACAATTCACAGTTTCTTGATGTTTTAATGTTTTAGAGTCGTCTAAGATGGCCCAAAAATGACCCAAAAGCAATTCTAACGGGCTCAAAAAGCCCACAGAAAACTCCACGAGCAATATTTTGTCCTTCGGGTTTTGTGTTTATTTTTCTAATGTGCGCGCGCGTGCGAGTATTTATTTATCTTTTGAAATTTTAAAATAACGAATCACCGAAGATTAATAATAAACAAACTTACTGAAGTGCAACATGAGATGGTTTTTTTTAATCTTTTTTCAGACCGATGCCCGTGCCTCCCTTCGCGAAGGCACTGGAATCTAGAAAATTTTAAAATAAGTTTAAAAATTCATTTACATATAATAAAAAAACTTATATATTTCTCTTATATACTTATTGCCTATTAAAATAAGACATGTGTATTTTTATAAATTATTTATTTTATAATAAATTTTTATTATACTATTATTAACATATTAAAATTTGCATGTCTTAATTTGATTACATAAAAATATATTAAAATACATAAGGTTAGGTATGTAAGTCTTATCACATGTAAATAAAAATTATAACCAATTATTTTATTCATGAATTATAAATAATGAAAAAATTAGTAAAAATGACCTAGTTAAAAGAGAAGTTGTGCCCGAGGATCAAATTGAATTCAAGGACCAAAGTAAATATTTTATTCATTAAAAAATATGAACAAATAAGCAAAATGTTCCTTTATTTAAATAAACAAAATTGAAAAAAAAAAAGCTGCCTATTCAACACGTCCACCCCAAGCCAGAAGCCTTGCACCCATGATAATAAAAATTATAACTTATTTTTTTGACTTCTGGTTTGGGGTACATTGCTTCTGACTTGAGTATAAGGCTTTTGGTTTGAGGTGAAAGATGTGTGGTTGAGGTGTAAGGCGTCTGGCTTAGAGTGCAAGGCTTCTGACTTAAAGTGTAAAGCTTCTAACTTGAGGTGCAAGTGTTGAACAGGCGGCCCCCTTTTTTTCAATTTAGTTTGCTGAAAATATAGGAGCATTTTGGCCATTTGGTTATATTATTTAATAAATAAAATATTTAGTTTGATCCTTCAATTCAACTTGATCTTTGGGCATAATTTATCTTTCAACTATATCCGTTTCACCAATTTTTCCTAAATAATGTGATCTATTTTTTAAGTTTTTATGATGCACAAAAATCATACATTCGAGCCTCTACTTCTTTTTTAATTAAAAGGCTGTAAGATAAAGCCATATAAAATTAAAACCAGACAACGTTAGTTAATAGTAGAAACTAAATGCAGCTGTTCTTCTGAAAAATTCATACACCCTAATGGTGCCAAATCCAAAGCTTAATCCTAACTTATTTATTAATAAAAAAGTGAAAATTCTCCCATAAAAAAGAATTGTCTATATAAAATTTAAAATAAATAAAATGTAAAAAAAAAAAACTAGGTTATCACCCATCTATTTTTTTCAAGTTGAAAATAAAAAAAATAAAAAAATACATAGTCCTGGCTCAGATAAAATCATAAAAATGGTGGGGTATGGTATGCATCAAGATTCAATCCTACTTATCCAAAAGAAAAGTCAGTTTTTAGTTTTAAAAATTTTAATCTTTCAATGGAAAAGCTTTTCCCATTTAAAATTTTCCGAGTTATGTAAAATTTTCACAACTTAGGATTCTCCTAGTGTGCTATATTCTTAGGGTTAGGTGGATTATCAATAGTTTTAACTAGATTCCTCCAGATGTGTTATTTTATAATAAGTTTGTTCTATTATATGTCAGCTGTCAACTTTTAGAGAAATTATTTTAAAATAAAAATTTGATTTCTTTATTATTCATAAAATGACATGAATGTTTATTTATAAAATGTTGACACTTGAGAGACTAAGTTAACCAATTAAATTTTAAGAGTTAAGTTATAATTAAATTAAAATTATAAGAATTAGATGATTATTTTTTTTAAGTCGTAGATATATTCTAAAAAAAGCATAGGAACCAATTTATAAAATACCTGAAAATATGTATTTCTTGTTATTTTTTATCTAATTACACTATTATATATATATATATATATATTTGGTTACACATTTTAAATTTTTTTTGATTCTAGATAGCAATACAATTACAATCATCTACAGAAAACAATAACATGGAAATTTGTGGGTTCCACCAACTATTGTCTAAACTACTTATCGTCATCTAAAAATGATACTGTTATAATTACCTTTAATATATGCTCATCACTTATCGGTATTATTTTATACTTTAAATAATATAATAGACACGCATGCATGTCATGCCATCATAGGTTCAAACTACTTTGATATGTTAATTTAATTTTATGGTTATTATTTGAGTTTTAATTTATTTATTTTTGTTTAACTTTAATTTATGTCCCTGTTTGTCATTTTTAATTTTCCCTCTTTTTTTCTTTTGGCCAAAATTTTCCATCTTAACCACACACAAATTTGAAGACCATAGCATCGACATTCAGACACAACCTTTGCCCCCCAGCCAGGTATCAAGTCACAATCTCAAATATTAATTAAAGTGAACGATGATACAATTTTATATATTTATTAAAAATAAATTTAGAATTGTATCAAAAAATAAATTCAGAAAATACTTTGAAAGAGAAATAAAGAAAAGTGTAGTAATGTAAATTACGATGTGAAATATTTTTTCTTGTCTTTTTTAATGCATGATTATATTTATACAAACTTAAAATATTTTTTTAATAAAATAAAATTTTGATGAGCTAAGTTTAGAGGCTCGCTTAAATTAAGGTATATCTTTGGGTGTAAAAAACACTTACAATGTTTTAGATTCTAAGAATATTTAAAGGAATACTTATAAATCATTTATTAATAAAGTTTTCATATCAATAGTAGAACTTAAACCCATAATTTTATAAATTATATAGTAAATTCTTATCGATTAGACTTTATGAGTAAAGGTAAAAGGTTTAATTAAAATGATTCTGCATCTTTGCAGTGATACAACCAACAATAGATTAATATAATTTTGATATAAATAGGGAAAATTATAATCAAGGACCCCTGGAGACAATTAGCTATGCTACAAGACCAAAACACTATTGTTATTATGAAAAGATAAAAATACCCTTCATATATATATATATATATATTATATACTCTTTTAACAACAACTCCTCATTTAAAAAAAAAATTTTATTCACATTTTAACATCAATCAATTCACCTATTAACAACTTCAAAAAAATTAACTTGGTGGTGGAAAAGAATAAGTGTTGTGATTCGATCAATAAGTCTTCATTCAAAAAAAAGATAAATCCCATTTTTATTCTAACAATTAATTTTTTCATTAACAACCACAAAATATTAACTTAGTAGAGGAATTGTTCCAATATGAAAAACAAGTTTCTATTAAAAAAAGTTTTATATTCATTTTAACAACAATCAATTTTTCCATCACAACAAAAATACATCAGGAATAGTTTTATTTTTTCACAACAAAATTACATTTAGGTCCTTTGATCCTGTAGAGTAATATTACAATTTTTTGATTCTGTAGCATAATTAATTATCCTTAGGAGCCATTGATTGTGATTTTCCCTAAATAATATGATACAAAGCTTGTTGGAATAACACTTTTCATATCTCAAATATGTTTCTGAACGAATTTTTTTTTTCGAAGAACAATAAATTGAAACTTTTGAAACAAATATTTTGAAATGAAAAAGAAAAAAAGAACAAACACATTTGTATATGTATAATCTTTTCATGAATGCATGTGTGATATATATTTCTTTCGGCCAAAGATATATAAAATAGATTGAATGTGCGCGTATATACATATAGGATTGGATCTTCTTGAAGTAAGAGATTAAATGTAACCATTTTTTTAATTGGAAATAAATTTGAATATCACACTTAAGTTCTGTAATATCAAATCAATGATGGTGAAGTCTCAACAGATTTTTTATTATGAAAATTGAGTTTATAATATGATTTAAAGTTTAAACTTGCAAATTTATAATTTAGATGGTAGATAATATATTTAAAATTTAAATGAATTTTTATGAATCAATATTTATAATTTATTTTTTTAAAGAAAGATTTATTAAAAACATTATTATTATTATTATTAATTTAATATTAAATTCCAGCACGTCCACGCATGCTCTGACATGAGCATTTACATGTTTCGCAGCCAATGGCAGCTCGTGAATTCCAGGCGCTAATTGACTGAATTCTTTATTAGCACGTGGGTCCAAGATATTTCTGACATAACAAGCGTGACTGATTACAAAGTTCAAGCGAAACAAGCAAGAAGAGTCGTTATTGTGTGGTCGATCACAATATCAGACACAAAAAGAGTCGTCCGTCGTCGTCGTCGTCGTCTTCTTTCAAAGGACACTTCAAAGGCTAAATGGGTGCTGCAGAACCTGTAAGCTTCCAAATTTTCTTCGTTCAAATTAATTTCTGTAATTAATTTCTGTAAACTCGGAGTTTTTCTCTCTGGGTATGTAGGTGGTTGAGAGAGAGAATGAAACTCGAGCTCAAGTGCTCAGAGAGGAAGATGGAAAGAAGAAGGAGAAGAAAGAGGAGAAGACAATGGATTTGGAAGAGCGTTTACAAGAGAAAGTGATTCAGATGAATAGTAATGGAACTGGAAGTGAGAATCATAATGATCATCATGAAGAAATTCTGCTCTCGAGGTTTCAGACGTTGAATCCCACTAATCCACTAAGGATTGTGATTAATGGAGCCACTAATAGGGCTTCAAATCCTCCTCCTGCTCAATCTCAACGTCCTCAACCTCGTTCTGTTCCAGTCCCACAAGAAGTAAGTCCTGTTTCATCTCCAGAGAAATAGCTTGATCAAGAAACAAGCTCATTTTATGTTTGTGTTAAAGCCTACGTGAAATCTCAAATCTTCTTTCCGTAGTTTTTCTATCTACATGATGAAGTCCTGTTAAATCTCTGTGGTAATTTTGCTGTTTCCTTTTTTGGCGCTACTTTACTCGTTTGAGTTACGAAATTCTTGAAGCTGAAGTTAAGATGACTCTTTCTGGTAAACTATTACTATATTGTCTGCTAAGTTCTCAACTGATTAATCCCAATTTTTAATCTCTTTTTCAGCGGCGACCGGTGACTTTGAATTCAAGAAGATATACCAACAGAATATCCCTTTTCTTCTTCATCCTTCACTTGATATTAGCTATTGCCCTGGTTTGCTTTCTTGTGTTTAAGGGAATTCAGGGGCTAATCCAAGGATCAGATTCCATGGAAAGGAAAGAGAAAAGACTATTAAAGTACTTTCTACCCCAAGTGGAAGCTGCATCTCTCATGAGCATCACTCTTGCATTTGCATGGCAAAAAGCAGTTAGGCAATGGCCTACATTCATGATTCATTTCATTCTATGGTGCTCATTTGTGATGTCTCTGTCTGCTGGAATTCTCTTACTTTGTTTCCAAAAGTCTCCCACTGATGGTGTTGGAGTTTGCTTGGTTGCTTTTTCAGTAGGCAATGGCTTATATGCTTGTTGGGTTAATAGGAGAATTAAGTTTTGCAGCAAGATTTTGAGTTTATCACTTCAACCTACATCAATTTTTCCTGATTTGAACCAACCCACTTATTATTTGCTTGGTTCTGGATTCTTGTGGATGTCTTTATGGATATTGGCTGTGATTGGAGCCTTGAACTTCTATTTCCCTCCTTTGATCATCATTTTATTGGTCTTGAGTTTGGCTTGGACCACTGAGGTGCTGAGGAATGTGGTTAATATCACTGTAAGTAGAGTCATTGCACTGTATTACCTAAGAGGAATGCAAGCAAGCACTCACTTCTGCTTTCTGAGAGCCTTAACTCGCAATCTCGGGAGCGCTTGTCTGGGCTCTCTCTTTGTTCCGACCATCGAAGCCCTGCGAATTATCGCTCGGTTTTTGAATCTGCTGGAGGGAGAAGATGAGTTCTTGTTTTGTTGTGCTCATTGTTGTCTCAATGTCATGCAATCCATCTTCAGAAATGGCAATGGCTGGGCCTATGTTCAGGTAACATTAAAGATAACTAACTACTTGGCACAATTTCTGTTTTTCCTGGCATAGTAGCTTATAGATAATGATAAGGTGGTACCACACATGGAAAAAAGGATCAAACATGGAGTTGTTTCTTTTCCCCCAAGTTTGTCTGCTTACATCTTTCTTAGCTTATGATATATTCTTTGAAAATTTTATTCTGTGGTCACTATTGACTTGTCAGATTCTCTTGTTTCTGAGTTCACTTAGAAAAAGCACAGAGCAGTCACCATCTGAAAGCACTTCTGTTCATGTGCTCTCACTCTCATTCTTCTTTAGTCAGTCACTAATTAATTAATGGTATGATGATGATGATGATGATGATGATGATGATGCAGATTGCTGCATATGGGAAAGGTTTTGTGGTGGCATCACAGGACACATGGGCTCTATTTGAGAAACAAGAAATGGAAGAACTGGTGGACTCTGATATAACAAGCTCAATCTGCTTTCTCACTGGGGTTTGCAGTGGATCTATTTGTGTCATTGTCACGGCTGCTTGGACTGCTAAAGTACACCAGAGTTTCACAGCCACTCTATCCCTCCTCACTTTCTTCATTGGATACCTTCTGGTCAGTACATTCAATCACCTTCTTGCTCATAATGAAATTATTAGCATGTGATCACCATCTTCATTGAGATGCATGATGATCTTGAAAAATCTTTGTTGTTTCTTCATTTGGTAACTTGTTACGTTAGCATTCGGCACTACATCCAAATGGGGTTTAAATCCTCTGTTGCGATTGGTCAATTTTTGTGAAGTTTTCTTTATCCTCTAATTTTATATAAAGGTTCAGTTTGGTTCTTTAATTTTATAAAATATTATTTTAATCCTCCAACTCTATCACCATTAGTCTCAAATGATGATTTTTATGTCAAATCATTGTTAATTTTTTTTTTAAAATTAAACTTAATATATCAATATTTGATAATATTTTTTTCAACATTTACAAGTTTAATGTCGGCATTTTTTTGTTAATGAAACTAGCAGTATTAGGATTAGAGAGAACTGAAAAAACACTTTATAAAATTAAGGAATCAAAATAAAATCTTGTGTGGAGTTAAAGAATCAGAGATACACTTTTGCCATTCCAATAATGTCGTCTCCAAATAAATGATAAATCTCTCTTTGTAGTTTTGTATAATCCAGAACTTTGTTTCAAGACTATTGAATTCCCTTCAACTCAACTCAATGGAGTCCCAAAACCTTACTTAAAGAACATCAAGTTCCTTTCATTTGGCTCAATTTAATGTAGTTTTCATGAATGTATGAATGTAGAGGATCCAATTTAATGAGTTAATAATAATAACACAATGTATTGATGATTTTGCAGACGAGGATCGCCATGGCAGTGCCTCATGCGTGTGTAAGTTGTTACTATGTGTGCTATGCAGAGAACCCAGAGAATAGACTCTTTGATAAAACAATCCAAGATCGTCTCTCTTTGATCAAATCAAATCGTGATATGACTGTGCCTACGCCAAGAGTACCAAGACACTTCAGGGTTTAATTGGAAATTTTGTTGGAACAAAACGACCATAGGCGTAGCCATGCAACAAGCAACAAAGTTACATCATATCAAAAATCATGAGATTCTTGCATTCAATTGGGGGATCGTCAAGAAAATTATGGTATCCAAGTTTAGCCAATTTGCTTGGCGAACAAGCCAGTCCGCACATCAATTTCCTTTCTTGAAAACATGCATGGTCCAAGGTTTAGTTTGCAATTTGCTTCTTCTCCATTGTACAGAGTTGGAGATTCAGGGTCAAGAAGCTGAACCATTGATTTTTGGATATTGTATGGAGAAAATGAGATTCTTTTGAGGGAAAAATATATACAATTCTTTTACATTTGTAATTGTAAAGTTCATTAATCATAACAGTCCAGTCAATTGATTTTTTTTCCCCAGAGTGATGCAAAGAATGAGGATGTAAAGTCCACTTATTTTACATTTATCATTTCATTCTTTATTTGTTTCTCTTTGACAACAGTGTGAACTCTAAATTTAATTCATAGTTTTATACTGTTGTCATGTTGTTATTGGAAAATAATATATTTGTCATGCGTTTATTAAATAATCTGATGATAAAATATAAACCAATGTTTTTTAGAATTGGACTAAATGTTAAACTAGAAAGGTCAATGGTTCATGATTCACAATGTTAAATTGATGACGTAATAATAAATTAAATAAATTATATATGTATATAATAATTTAAATATAAAAAAATATAAAATTATCACTTAATTTAAAAATAAAACTATTAAGTTTATCATAATTTAAATAGCCGCATAATATAATATAACATTAAATGATTAAAAAAAGGTTATTTTCTGGAGAAAAAAAGAAAAATGGTCATTTTTTGAGCCGTCTGATTTTTAAGAATTAATCCGATTTTCTACTTAATCTTGATTCTTGATCCAAAGCGGTCTAATTTGACCCAACTTTTTAAATGATTTTTTTGACTTGACTAAACCGTTAACCTGACCGATTGACAATTCGACTGTTTGGTTCAATTTAATTTTTAAATCATTGATATAAACAATAGAGTGAAAGTATAGTTTACATTAAAAAAAATAGAAATTATAGTCTATTTTAAATCATTTAAAGACATATTCAAACTACATAAAAATTACAGTTGGTAAAATTTTAGTCTTTTAAGTTAATTAAAATATAGTGTTAAAAAAATTTAACATTCAAGGAGATTTCAATATATATATATATATATATGTATGTATGTATGTATATTTTCTGAATTTGAGGGTACAAAGAATTGTCAAAAGAGCCTATCCACAACCGAATTTTCGAGAGTAATCAAAAGTCAACTTAAAAGTTTCTTGCGGTATTGTCCAATGTTGCGTATTTAAGACGATAACGACTTTAATCGCTTATTCACTGTAGACAATCCTCAGTTTATACCTTCTTATTGTTATTTTTTATTCAACTACACCATATTAATATTATTATCGAGTCAAATTTAAATTTCATATCCAAGATTTATATTAAATTTTAATTTTAATTTTATTTAAGAAAATTGAGTTTTTTTAAAAAAAAATTAGTGTCACATAGTGAAAAAAAAAATAGTCTTACGTTTAGCTTGGATGAAAGAGAAGGTGGAGAAAACATAAATTGAATGAAATGAAAATTTACTATTTTTAGATATTTTTTATAATTTTCTTTCCTTCTTATTTCTCTTTTCATTCAAATAATGATTAAAGTTTTCGTGAAAAGAGATAAAGTGAGACCAAAAAAAGAAAAACAGACTATTCACACACATTCGAATCCAAATTCTCGTATTTAAGTGATCGTAATTCCTTTTATTAAAACCAACGCTTGTTAATAAAAATTCTATTATTTATAAAATAAAATATAATAACATGAAATTCATATAGTGTAAAAATTGTTGAATAGTTTCAAGCCCTGTGAGAAAGTGTCCCTGTGTTGTGGATAACATAGTGTAGCTGCATTTTTTCAATGGCAAAAAATACGTTACGTAAGTAATAAAATATATTTTAATTCTGGAAGGAGTTGCATTATTTTGGCTTTGTTATTATTTTTTTCCTGGAATATCTTGGAATATGGTGGAATGTTCTTAAATTAGTAGAAGTCTTCTACATTAAATTGATTTTAAGAAAAGAATGTAATATAGATAGTGTAGTTTGTATGATTTTTATATTATATAAATATATAGATATATAGATTCCATTTATTTTTAAAATATTTCATGGAGTCTTGGTATTTTCTAATATTACACGTATTCTTTTTACAAGTAAATTTTTTCATGTTAAAAAGTAAAGCCTCTTTAATCTCAATAGATCATCTAGAATTTAATTCCTTCTCAAATTTGTAAATTGTTGATGATACTTTTTTTTACTATTACCCAAAAAAAATGATGATTTAAATTAGCATTTTTATTAATCCCTAAATTAAATAGAAAATCAAGATACTTTAAGATATTTTAGATTGGAAAAAAAAAATCCATTACGCAATATCTCTCATGAAAAATTGTGATATTTAAACATTGCATATAAAAAAAATAATATTCAAAATCTGGTAAGATTGATGTTCATGGTGAGACTGAGCAACTAAACTACTTCAAATGCTGACCATTATGTTGGTGTTGAAAATAACATTGAAAAAGATACTTTTAATTTAAGGTTAAAAATATACCAAAAATTAGAACGTAACATGCCAAGTCTAGATAGACACAGCATGCAAGAATTGCATTAACTGTGAACATGATATCACTTCGATGCCAAAGATGTTACATAAATGGTACTTAATCTTTCCATATAATATTATAAGATTTTTTTTAAATATCGTATTTAAAAAGAAAAAAATATATTTACAAATTCTTATAATTTGTTTTAATTTTGAATTAAATATTTACAATTTATTTTGATATAATTAAGCCTTTATAGTTTGATTAATTAATTTTTTTGTCTTTGAAAGTGAAAATCCCTATATTTTTTATTTAAAAAAATTAGGAACTTTTATGTTTTTATTAAATGATTATATAACTTTAGAATTAATTACATATTTTTTATAAATCAAAATTTATATAATTAAGGTGTCTTCTAAATATTTTTTGTACATATAGAATTTTCATTAAAAATAATAAAAATGTAAATATTTTATTAAATCAAGTATTCTATTTTTAATTTTGTCTAAAAGTATTAAATTAAATTTTATATAAACTCCAAGAATATTTTTGTTTTCAAAATTTAATAATTATTTATTAATTTAACCTTCAAGAGTTAACATATATAATAGATCAAAATATAAGGGCCTGACTAAAACAAAATAAATTACATGAATCTAATTTAAAGTTGAGCAAAACTATAAGGACCTGCACATTACATTTTCTTTAAAAAAATGTAAAACATTTTGAGTTTTTCAAAGTATAATTAATAATTAATTTTTTTTCAAAAACATCTGTAATCATGAGGTGTGCTTAATAAGATTTTTTAATTGAGACACTCAATTAAATAAGAATAAATATAAAAAAAATGTGTAATTTTAAAAACAACTAACTAACTTACTTAAAGGTGTAGTTCAATTAAAAATATATCTTACTATTGAATGAAAAAAATGTCAATAATGCATGCTCAAGGCTTGCATTAAGAGCCAAAACCGAATATATAAACAGAACAAGGATACAAGGTTCAAGGTTGCAAAGAACAGATAAATGATATGTGCATGACAGTTTGATCCTATATAAGATTTTTTGCCCGTAACTTGTTTCACTTTCATAATTTTATTACAAGGTAAGCAACCTTGCCCTCACCTTTTAAAAGAGAGTTGTGAGATGCATGCCCCAATTAATTATTGCAAATAAGCTTTTTTTTTTAATTTAACTTTAATACAGGATCAATAGCATTCAACTCATCAAACTTATTGTTTGGATTGGTTTTGGCACATTGGGCCTAAGAAACTAATTGACCGAAGCCCAAACTAATTCTGTGAAATGACAGCCCATCAATTAACCAATCTTATTAGAACTAAGTGGAACGCTGCATTTAGAAATGGTAAGGCCTATTCTCATCACTACCAAAGAAATATGTTGCATTTGCCTCTCCACACGATGAGGCACACCATTGACTAATTGATTGCGAAAATAGTTACTTATTACCTATAGACACTAGAATTTAAATTGAAGGAACATGTCGCTACTCTCCTTTATAAATAAACAGCAAGCGCGTAATTTAGAGTCTCTCAACACTCTACATAATCAACCCAATTGCTTCAACTTGCCCAACACAAAAATTCAACATCCTGACCAAATGTCACTCAAGCTCGCCTGGCATGACTCACCTTGTTCATATCATTAGGCTTCCTAGGCTAGTCTTTGTTTTGATTTGTTACCCTGTGTTAATAATAAATATATAAAAAATTTATTTTATCTAAATCTTGTTATCCCATATAAATTTTATTACATGTCTAACATCTATTATTTTTAGTAAGAATATTATATCCAAATCTAATTTTTATTATGGATCTATGATCTTTTGAAATATAAAAATCTCATTATTTTTTTAAATATTTACAAATGAAAATTTATATGAAAAATGTTTTTCATCCTTCATAATAAAATTTATTAATTAAATAACAAGTCACATAATCATTTTTTAACCAATGGTAATTTCTTTGTATATCTAACACATATTATTTTTATTAAATATCTTATATTCACTGTCAATTTTCATCATGAATTCTACATGATCTTTCAAAGTATAAAAATCTAAATATTTTTACACATTGTCTAAATTTTTAACAGTTATAAATGTATGTTCCACATCCACATTTTTCAATGGTACATCACACGTCCCCCCCCCTTTTTTTTAACTAAGTCACACAATTATATTTATTTTTATTTTTTTTACCCAAACCATCCATTAACTAATTTTAAAAAATTAATCAATTTTATTAATTAAATTATAGGCCCCTAACCCACTTTTTTTACTATTAATAATTTCTTTACATATATAACACCTACTATTTTTATTAGGAATTTTATACTTACCATTAATTTTTACTATGAATCTTATATGATCTCTCAAAAAATAAAAATTTTATTATTTTTTACACTTGTTTAAATTTTTAAAATCTATAAATGTAGACCCTCACTCACATTTTTTAATGGTAGGTCCTACAAATCACTTTTTTAAACCACACTACTCTAATTTTTGTAAAATGAAGTTTATTAAAATCTTACATTCTATCTATTTTCCTTAAAACCTCAATTCATATAGAGTTTAAAATATTCAAACATATAAAAATTTGTAGTCGAGCTTGACTCTTAACGCCTCTAGCTTTGAAATTTATTTAAGTCAGTTTAACTATCTCAAATTATTAAAAAATATTTTACTTTTCTCTTTATTGAGTCCATAAATTTCATCTTTGAATATTTTTTGGTCAATTTATATATTTAATTTTTTAAAAAAAGTTACAAAATAAATACATTTAAATAATAAAAAAATTAATTTTTGGATAATTTAAATAATTTTTGGAAAATATTTCTATTTAAATAGAAATATTTTAATTTAACACATATGATTTAATAGTTAACTAATAGTTAGGTGGATAAAAATAAAATCTTAAAAATAGGAGGAATGCTTGTATTTTATAACTATCCATATTAAAAAATGTTCATATAGGTGTTTAAAAATAGAGGAGAGATATTATTAATTAATATAAAAATAAACAAAATTTTACCCGTTTTTTATTATAAATTTCATATTAACAATTTATTTTTGTAGGTCCCACATGTGCCTCTTGTACTAAAGGGCCCACATTATTCTTTACCTTTTTATTATATCATATTAAAAAAATTAATAAATAAAAAAGTCAAAAAAAAAAGTCTGATCTAATCCGATAACAAATTAAACAGTTAAAAAATATATCTACAGTAGTTATTTGATGCCCATCCGACAACAAATAAGAAGGCAAAAACAAAAAACAAAAGAAAGTCAGATGGGTATTGTAGATCCATCCCCGAGTTTTACAATATATTGTAGATTGTAGATTGTAGATGAAGTTGTAAATTAACCAAGAAAAATAATTAGCTCACAATTTTATGGTTAACAAGTCTCAAGTTGAAAACTCTACCAGACCTTAGCAGTTCATCAGCTAATAGACTTGTGTATTTAATATTTTTTTTATTAAAAAATATAAAGTATTTTTAATCAAATGTCACATCCTAATAAAATAATTATTTATCTTCAAACTAATACTATCTTTTCATATTTATTCCTATTTAATAGAGTATTTCACTATATAAAATGATTTATTCATAAGGGATACTCAAAAAAAGAAGAATAATAGTTACATTTTGAAACACTAAAAATGTCTTGCATTTTTTTAACATTTAACTTTTTTAAAAATATCATATATTTTTTAATGAATGGATAAATTCATGATTTGATGAATATCATCAGCACAAATAGATGGTACTTGTGGGTAATTAATTTTCTTATTTTGAACCAATATATACTTTTATCATTTTTGACTGAAGTGCATGTGACCTTCAGAACATCCAGTAACCACTGTAACATCCTAATTTTTTATATAATAAAGAAATTGTGGAATTTAGGTTTTGAGAAAAAAAATGATAATAATAGAAATTTATATTATTTGAGGTTATTTAGAAATAATATTATGGTTAGGTATTTAATTATGAATTTAAAAATTTAAATTTAAAACAACATAAGCAATATTTAGATAAGATATAATATATAAATAATTTTTTTTATGTGTGTGTTTAAAAAAAAGAGAAGGTAGAAGGAACAAAAAAAAAGGGGGGTAGAAGGTTGTTGTTTCTAAGTCCCACATTGGTTAGATGAGGGAAGAGAAGAGGTGCCTTCATGTATAAAAAAGGAGGGGGTGTGTGCATTAGGAAGCATGAGAGGCTAAGATGCAATTTAGAGAAAATTGCAACTTTTGGCCCAAAGGTTTGAATAATTAAATTCAAACCTATAGTTTTTTTTTAATATAATTTTGGGACTCACAATCCCATTTTTATATTATTTTTCTCTCTTCCTCTCACGTTGCTCGGCGTTTTCTCACAAGGGAGGATTATTTTCTTTTTCTTCAGGTATGTTCTAACTTTCCTATTTAGATTAGCATTTAAAAATTTATTTAATTACAAAATTAATTTTATAGTTATTTTCTAAATAATATTAGCTTTCTAGTGATATGATTATTTTGTAGGATAGAGTAAATATTTGATTAGGATTTTTTTTATAGGATAGCTAATCTGATGATATGATAGATTAAAATATAGGTTAAAACTCTTAGGGATATAATAAATATTATAGAATATTTTCTTGAGGTTGAAACTCATGTTTAAGAATTTTTGAGTTAAAATCTAGATCTATATGGTTGAATTTATGTGGAATCTGAGATGTAGGGATAAATCTCTGATTATTAAATATTTATTTAAGTATGAATAGGTATTTTTGAGGTTATAGAAAGGTGATTTGAGGTTTCAGGATAATTCTAAAATTTTTAATTTATTTTTGAACGAATTTTTAGAATATAGAATGATGAAATTGTGATACTAGAAGTGATTTGAGGATAAAAAAAAATAGTTTATTAGGGTACGAGAATTTTAGAAAAGAATTTAGAAAGTTAAATGAGGCATAAATCTTAAATTAGTATTAATATGGATTATAGATCTAAGACTTTCTAACTCTTTAAATTAGAGTTATTTATTTTAATGTAAAATTAATATATAGTATTGTGAAATAATTATGTAGATTATATTGACAAAGATAGTGGTGAAAAAGGAGTTGTGAAGGGGAACTTGTTATTCAAGACACAAGGTAACCATTATTAATGTGTTGTGATGAGTGTGTTTGTGAATGGTTATGTGTTGTTTTGTTGTTTGGAAAAATTACGAATTATTGAAATAAATACTGTATATACTTGTTTGAAATTATTGCCAAGTGGGTTAAAAATTATTTTTGTTTATCATGATGAGATATTATTGTTCGATATATTCCTGTTTGGATATTTGAATGATGCATGACTTGTCAGGGTATTTTAATGTATGGTGTTAATGGGAATTTCTGTTCGGTTAATTATTACCACGTGGTAAGCTTTCATTGGACCCAATGAGTGGCGTGTCGCTTGGTCCAACTCACCTTTGGCCGGGTGATTTGGCGTCCGAGCATGGCGAAAGGAGGATATAAGGTGCAGTCATGCAAATTAAATACTTGTTCGGTTTGTTTGAAAATATTGTTCGGTTAAATGTTTTGTGTGCCCACTTAGCAATCGCATGATTAGTTACATCCGCATGCATCATTACATATTAATTTTTGGTTACTGAGACTTTTAAGTCTCATTCCCCGTGGTTAATATTTTTACAGGAGCGAATTCGGCCGAGAAAGCACCAGAGGTGTAATTATGGTGTATGAGACACCATCTTTTACGTTGCCTCTTATTTTGGATTATACAATGTATCTTGTGCCAACTTAGGACATATCTTGTCTATGGAGCATGTAAACTCTAATCCTTTTTATTAAATGCATTTATATGTCCAAGAGGATTATGTCTGTCCCTTTTGATTCATGACCTAATTTAAATAACATGCTATGAGGATCATGTCTGTCCCTCATGGTTCTAATTGCTTTTTGAGATATTTTAAGGCCTGTGGTATATTGTCTTGGATGTATCATGGTAGAAATTTTTCTACCATGATAAGGGTATGATAAGGGTTCAATGAAAAAAAAAATAATTTCTTGAATTAATAATTTGCGAAAAATCGGTTTGTAAATTTGAGGGTGTTACAACCACCATGGCTAGTTTGCCCATAATCGTAACTATTAAATAAAATAATTAAGTTCATCTATGTTTTTCAAATTTATTGTTTGGCTTAAATGCATAAAAGCCCCCTGAATTTTAAGACAGTTACATATAACATCACTCACCTTTAAAAGTTTAAAATTAACCCCTTTAACCTTTAATTTTGTTTTGCAAAAGCCCCTTTTTGTTAATTATATTATTTTTTCATGAGGGTTAAAATATCATTCAACTAAAAAATATTATTAAACAGAAATATTATATTGTATAATTATTTATAATAATTTTTTATATTTTTTTGGATAGTTGAGACATTAATGATAGCCAAAACAAATTTTATTATCACCATATAAAATTTTAAATATTTTATTTTGTGTTAATTTCTTATATTTTTTATTATCAATAGTGCATAGTTTTTTAGTATTATAAGATAAATTAATCTAACATGATAATATTTAAAATTTAAAATATTTTAGCCATGTGCATTACATTAATCTAACATGAAAATAAAAATAAAAATTTATCATTTAAAACAATAAAATCATGCACCATTGATAACAAAAAAATGAATAAAACTAATATAAATATAAATATTTAAATTTTTATACATTGATAATAATTTTTTGTTATCGATGTCTCAACTCTTAAAAAAATATAAAAAATTTATTATAAATAGTTATACAAGTTATCGATGCCTCAACTCTTCAAAAAAATATAAAAAATTTATTATAAATAGTTATACAATATAATAATTTTGTTTAATAACATTTTAATCCTCCTAAAAAAAATAACATAATTAATAATAAGAAGTTTTAAAAAACAAAATTAAAAGTTAGGGGGTTAATTTTAAACTTTTAAAGGCGAGAAAGATTATATGCAACTGTCTCAAAATTCAAAAAAAATTTATGCATTTTAACCTTATTGTTTTAACATGATTAATACAATTATTTGATTTAGTTATCAATGGGTGAAAAAGCAAAATTAAGATATTTTATGAGTATTTTTTTTTCAAATAAAAAATTCATCAAATTAATTGAACTTGTTATTACTCCCTCAATCTTAAATTACCAGACATCTAAAAAAAATTATTCCAAAATATAAGATAATTTAAAAAAATATTTTTTAATATTATGCTCCAAATGAATAGAGAATTGAAATAATATTACAGTGGTTAAGTTCGTAAAAACATTTTTAAAAATTTATATTTTTATAATAAAAAAGAAAATTTATAAAATATTATTATTATAATTTATTAATATACCTTATTTTATATCAAATTGTTTTAGTAGAAATTAGAAGTATAAAAAGTCGACAGTAAAAGAATCAATTCTTTTTCCTTGTTGAAAAACCGCCCAAGTCCAACACGAGAATTAAACATTCCTTTTCGCTCCACCCTGTCATTCTTTCAGATAAAATTAATACTGAATATTATTAATTAATTTACGTCACAAACTGATAATTATATTCAGAATGCTCATGAACACATTCAACACCCTCCATAAATTATTGTATAACATTAATACATACATACATACATATATATAAAGATGACAAATCACTAGAAGCCATGAGAATACATTACTTCACATGATGCCCCAGAAAGCATTCCAATCCCATAAAGGCTTCCATGGAACATCTAAATGCAGATAAAAACAATATTGATAAACTTTATTCTTTACTCTGTATCCATAAGCTTTAAGAAATTCTGGAAACCTAATAAGCAGATTTTTTTTCCCCCATCAGATGACTCTAGAAATCCCACAATATATAGAAACAGCATTGCTAAATGCAGATGAGAACAATAATATTGAACTGCTATTCTTCTTTGCCCTGTTTGCTTTCATTATCTCTGAGGAACTTTGAAAACCAATAAGCAGAAGATTTGGGGTGCCTGGTGAGCCCATTTTTGTAATCCACATACACCAATCCAAAACGTTTAGTATAGCCTTCGGCCCACTCAAAGTTATCCAATAATGACCATGCGAAGTATCCCCTTACATCAACTCCATCCCTGCACATCATTCAAATGATTAAACAAATCTTTGAGATGTAATCCTCTGGTTTAGGTTCACAATTTGCTTTTAAAGTGAAAAAAATTTTACCCACTTATTATTCAGAAGAAGAAATATAGTAAGAAAATTTTGCTTATTTCACAAAATGATTCTAAAATCCTGTACAAGAATGTCCATGTCACCCTCAAAACTTAAGCCATTGTTAACTAAAAAAATGAAAATGCAACAGTTAGCAAAATAGAAGTTCTTGGTTCCAGGCTTCAAAACTTTGTTTCTGCCACACGCATTTCCATCCACATGAATATATTTTTTTGGTAAATGAGCATATACTTGAGATAAACTTTCTCATTGTAATACACCAATGTCAGCAGCTTAGCATTCTGTATCTCTTTTATTTTTCTCTTTTTTGGTTGGGGTTTTTGGTTTTCAGGTATACCCTACGAAGCGTATTTCTACAAACGGAAATCATTACTTAGTTTTGGGTAGAAGATATGGAGATCAAATTAATAAACCTTTTAATTGAATCTCCCTTTCTAAACTAACTGGAACTGGTTTAATATACATAATGAAAGACAACAACAACAAAAAATCTTATCTTAATATGTAAGGTCGGCTACATAAATTGTATAACTCTATCATCAACCAAGCTTTTACGCATAATGAAATAAAAGACAAAAATATTTAAAAAAAAAAAAGAAGATCTTGAGGATACAAGTGAACCTCATACCCCTACTTAAAAATGGTAATATAAAATGATCAAAAACTACTTAGTGGTGATTATAAGAACCTATTATTTCCCAGGCATATGATTGTATGTACAAGTAACAACTGGAAAATTCATTGATTGGCCGAAAAAAAAAAAGGTGGGAAAACTTACTTGATTGCCAAAGCAACCGAGGCAAGATATTCCTTGTAAAAGCGTAATCTCAGTTTGTCATCTAACATTTCATTCAGTGACAACTTATCATCATCTTCATCATCCATGCCTGTCAAACGGAAAATCCAAAGGTCAGAGTAATGAGAACCACTTGAGAATATATTTTGCAGTACAAACTGATCAACTAGGCCTAAATATGTGACTGATAAGAACCTTCAGAGGAATCATATCCTTACAAAAGCTAGCCCATGAGGTTAGAAAGGCCAAGATTAACATAAACCCCCGCATTGAGACTAGAGAACTTGTAAGTGGGTCATTACATCATCCCGTCACAACTTAATCATTACAATTAATTAATTGGTCTAAATGGTTATCTAAACTTGGAAAATGTCCAGTGATCATGTACCACCTGCCGTTATCATTTAAAGGGCATCCCAGATAGCATAAGGAGCCATTCACAGTCATAACGTTAACATTCATAGAGATAGAGATATCGGCATCAAAATTACCTTTCAAGTTTCAATTCATGCTTATTTCTCTGTAGCCTCACCTCTTAACTTATTGTTAAATAATGAAATAGCTCTTGACACATGCAGATACTTGCAAGAAGAGAAGTATCGCATACCATTCTCAGTGACGATTATAGGGAGATTGTACTTCTGAGCCATGTAATTCAGAGTCTTCCGAATGCCCCAAGGAACAACATAGAGCCACTCTGATGCAGCCTGCTAATCATTTCAAAGTATGTAACACTTGCTTATTTGTGCATGCGAAGATGTGCGCAATTGCAGGGATAGAGAGAAATGGTTTATACCTTCTCACCAATGACCTCACCACCTTCCCTCTCCACTGAGGATAAAAAGAAGCTCAATCAGAAAGACAATTCAATTGATGGATATCTTGAAAATGGTGTAAGACTGCAAGTATTACCAGTTCTCTTCATTGCTATTGATCTGTAGTAGTGACCTCCTTCAGAGCTTTCGTTCACATGAGAAATTAACCTTGATGTGTAGTGATTCAGACCAATGAAGTCCAAGGAATTTGCAAGCAACTTCTTATCCTCCTCTGAGAATGTTGGAAGTTGATCTCCAAGTCGTTCACGCATAATTTCAGGATAGTCTCCAAAACACAGAGGATGCAAAAACCTGGATAAAATATATACACAAAGGGCAAAATTTCAAAGTCAGGGTTGGATTTCATAGACAGAAATAAAATATAGCGATAAAAAAAAAAGTCCGCATTCTATGCACCCAGGTTGGCTTCAATCAGTAAACCCATAAAAAACTTTCATTCAAACTAGTTTTTGTCTAATTTTTTTTCCTCAACTTCCAATCGTCCATTTCTCACTGAAGGTCAAAGAAAACAGGATATCATTTCATATTTGCAATCATATATAACATTAAAAATAATTTCAGTAGCAATAGAGAGTATAGAACAGAGAAATTCTCAGTCAAACCCAAATTTACTGCATTGGGTTTCTTACTGGCATGACATCAGCGTGATGCCAATTTCCAGCGCATACGAGTCTTCCCATCAACACAAAATTTCCCATCAAAGGATTAAAACTTAGTGAAGCATTGTGTGTGTGAGTACACACATGAAGCCGCATGATTTTTATTTTTATTTTTTTTATATTAAATGATTAACTTCTCATCTATATTATAGCAAGAATTGATACAAGGAAACTACCATCCAAGCTGAAAATCCAGGCGCCTTGCAGCAGCAGATTTATCTTCAATCTTATCAGAATATGCTTCCGCCCATTCACAGTCTACCACCAAGCCCACTTGTCCCCCTTGCTTTTCCTGTAAATCAGGACAACAGAGTCAGTTAAGAAAATGCTGTATTAATAACATTTTATTTTTCCTTTCCATCATTTATTGTAAAACAAATTGAACTTTAATCATATTTGATAATCAGTAGATGCATAATATGGGAAATGGCAAAATGAATCACATTCCAGTGAAAGACTTTAATGTATAAACTTTCTGTTTCAAACATTATAATATAGCCAAGATATCAAACTGATGAACTGGGACCAAACCAAGCTATGTTAAGAGAAATTCTGTGGGAACAACAGTTAAAAATTAACGTCATTCAGCTGATTGGCTGGTGGCCTAGAACTAATTTACAGCTTAAACATCATGAGTGGAGCATGCCTTGCTCTAGATTATTATGCCAACAATTATTACTCACTGGTATCAAAGTATCATTTACTTCAGCAAACCAAGGCCTAGATGAGAACAGTGGTATACAAGATACAAAATTGCATGCCAATGGAAACTTGATCTCAAGAAATTTTGAACCATTTGTTCTTCCTTATTCTTAATTAAGTTAATAGGCCATTTAATTGATTGGGTGGTTGAGGATAGCACTGAAGCATGACTCAATTGTTATACAAGGATACGTTAACCCTAATGAGATCATAACCTAAAATAATATCCTTGGTTGGAAGGGATGAGATAATATGAATAGATAATATAGGGACATGGCAGTTTATGTGCTACCAAGCTCACCATTCTGCAACTTTGCATGTGCATCATAGAATGAACTAGATGATCACAAAGATGGACATTCTTTGCTATTGATCGTTGAGAGTGAGAATATGAAACATATTTGATAACCATGTTGCAAATATCATGTTGGATTATAGTCTTAATGTAAAAATCTCAGCCAATTGTAGATCTGTCTGTTAAAAGAGCTAATAATGTTTACCAAACAGATATAATTAATGCTCAAGTGCCTAGACTACTATATTAGCACTTCCTTCCCATTGTAAGTTAGAATTGCACAGATCATAATTCATTCGTGGTCCAGTTAACATGTTGGGAAAAAAAGGAGCAAAATGCTACTCATGGTAATATAGCATCAGGCGGTTTAAAAGCCAAAACATAACAATTATCTGGATGGTCTGACAATAAATTTGTGCCATTACCTTTACAAACTATTTCATTCATAATTTAATATTATAACAACAGTAACAGACAATGAAAGACTGTGATATACACACAATGGAATTATTTAAGAACAAAATTTCGTGCATCAATAAAGTACAACAATGTACCTGGTACTTGCTCCGGTATACAGATACAGCTGCTGCATGAGCCAAGATTTGATGATGTGCTGCTAAATATGGTTCTATTGATGAATTTTCACTTCTTCCTGGAGCAAAAATCCCCATATCATACCCATTGATAGCAGTTTGAAGGGGCTCATTGATAGAAATCCAGCTCTTCACTCTATCACCAAAACTTGCAAAGCAAGTGTCCGCATAGATTGCAAAATATTCTCTGGTGTATGCCAGTGAAAGAAACAGAGGGATTGGAGGATTTAGAAGAAGAAATGCTAGGATCGAAGAGGAAGAAGAATCTTAGAAGATTATAGCGTCAAAATCTAACTCACTAATAATATAAAGCCAAGGAAGAAAATGACATAATAGATAGATTTAACAGGGAAAAAGAATCCTTAGAAAACATGAGTCAGAATCTGACTCAGATTTTCCAAAGCCAAAAGAGAATCTTTCATAGAATTACTGAATATTCATCGCCTCCTCTGAGTAGATTCATCTAAACTTTTATAGCCTTGTAACGGACAAGCACATGCTAACATATAAATAACTGATAAACGGACACTAATTGCAAAAATAAATGACACCTCAACATGAGACAATAAAACTGACTCAACTGCAAATAAAATACAGACAACACAAACAGAAGAAGTTAATATGACACAAACAACTTCCTAATTACCCTTATCCTATCCTTTTATTTCCTTCTACTGTAAGTATGCTGAAGTAATGGAGTCCTATCAGCCAGGCACAGGAAGCACATCATTAATTGATTGAATGGCAAATATCAACTCCAGAGATGGCATGATATAGAAAAGATGACTAATTACCTATTGTTCTTTATAAGTACTGCAACAAATGATTAAAAAAAAGAGGAAATCAATTACCAAATTCAGAAAATCATGCAGCTCATGAATCAACCTAGTGAGAAGCACATGGAGGATGTAAATAAATCTTGAGATATGTCAAGATGACCTCAACCTCAAGTAAGTGATTGAATTTCCGAAAAGGGAAATGACAGGTGCATAAGTGTGCTTCTATGCAGTTTGGGCTAATTCAGTGGTTAAGAGAAGATCCGTTAGTAATTATAGCCATATAGGACTCTTGTAAAGGGGAACTAGGTTACTTGGAGAAGTAAGAAACATGTAGTTGGCAGAACTGGCAAAGAGGCGTAACTGATTGACTATGCAATTTAACGTAATATTGTAAACTTGGACTTCCCATAATTTCTCTACAAGCTCATCCTGCAATTAATCAGACACCACAAACAAGGGCATATGACACTGACATATAACAATGCATCAATCCTAAAGCTCAGCAGATAGTTATATGGCTCAAGCAAATATTGTTCTTTATAAAAACGAGTTGAAACAAAACAGCTAAAATTGCTATTTTATAGCAAATGAAGAAAAAATGACAAATCCAACACAATATCAGTGTCTCAGCTTTTATAAATGCAATTTCCTCTTGATAACTCTGACATAGTAAGTCCAAGTTTGATTTTCACTTTTAAAATAATCACCATATATATATGATTATAATTAGCCGTCAAAGCACCATTGTCTTGCAAAACTGCATTCTATTAGAGTTACTGCCTCATCAAAATGCATGATATTTCGCAGCTGAAGAGCAGAAATCCGTCACATGAAAGCAAAGGAATCAAAAAGTGACATCACAAGTACTTGTTCAAACTACCTCTTCATGTCATGCAAAACAGAACATATAATTAGGAAAGAAACAAATTGCATCACCGGAAAAAAAAAATTCATTCAGTTGCATATGACCTACATGATTTTTTTATTTAACCATCCTCCCATTGATTCATGGAGATGCAGTGGAAGATCCCAATGGTACAAAGTCACATAAGGCTGAATACCTGCTGGTAAGGAGTCCTTAATTAATACATATTGTAGCAGTGACGACAAAAATAAGTGTGAAGATAAAACAGCTTTGTACCCCTCTGAAGAAGAGCATCGATAAGGCTATTATAAAAAGCAATCCCTTCCTCGTTGACTTTGGTTCCTAAACCATCTACATGACAAAAAAAATTAAAATTAATAATTATCCCAACATTCATCAGACTATATAAACAAATTAAGAGCTATCAAATATGCAGAGAAAATATAAATTAGGTGGCAGAAGCAGGGAACAACAGCTGATCTTATTAGCAAACACATTTGGTTATTTCATTCTTTATAGGTTAAAGGACATTAAAAAGAATCATTTTAAAACAAGAAAACTTGCCAGTATCTCTTTCTTGTACTTGTATGCCAGGAGATTTGATAATTCTTTTGGATACAATCATTTTAAATTTTCCTTACATATGTCTGTCATTTACATGCATAAGTTTTCAATTTTATATATATATATATATATATAACTAGGTTTCAATTGGTCAGTGCATGCTTTTCGTTTTAATGGTTTATTGCAGGGATAGAGTCACAAATCAAAGAAGCAAATTCACAAAATCAATGATGAGCAGAAATAATAATGTCAGTAGACATGCCTGACCAGCCAAGCATTTTATAAACTCTCAGGCTCTTAACAGAAATAGAGCATTCTATCCTCTTAACAATAAAGAAACTCAAAAAACCTATAGGCTGTCATTGTAATGAAATTCTTTTAAATTGTTTAACAAATCACCATGCAGATAACTGATATATTAAAAGTCTCTTCAGCAGCAAAATTTACCAGGGAAGATACGGGACCAAGATATTGAAAATCTGTAAGCATCAAAACCCAATTTCGCTATAAGATCAACATCTTCCTGTTAACATAATTACATGCAGAAGGTCAGCACAGTTAATAATATTATATATCAAGACAAAATTTCAGAGTATATGCTTGTGCTACACTCTCTCCGTTAAAAAATGTAAGACATGTTTAACTGAATCTCACCTCTCAATAAAGTAGTTCTTGTTTTCAAACTAACCCTATTTTTCCATCTTTACCCCTATTTAATATAGTGTTTCACCCTAAAATAAATATAAAATAATATATTTAACAGGGGCATTTTTGGAAAAAAAGCAATGATTACAATTTGAAAGACTAAAAATGCCTTCTATTTTTTAACATCCAATCCCTCAAAAAATGCCTTACATTTTTTAACAGAGGAAGTAAATTACAACACAATTGGTGCAAAATGCCATTCAATAGAAGATATTTGGTTTCAAAGAGCAGAATTGCGGGAAATTACTTTCAAAAGGGTATAATTGTATTGATTTCCCCAGTGCCCACGGAAGCCACTTCAAATGAAGGGAAAACATGGTGAAGAAGCATGCATAGCAGCAGAAATCCCGAGGCAAAGCAAGCATAACTAATGCTACTAATACTAGTTCACATCAACTAAAAAATATATAAATAAAGAATCAAAAAAATAAATGTAAAAGATATTTAAAAGAATGATATTGCTGACCATATATCGATGATAATGATCAACTGCTACATCTCCATTGCTGTTATCAGAAATTTTTCCTAACAAAACAAGAAACGGAAACCAAGTGTGATTAATAAATAAATAAATATACAACAATTAGCATCATTCGAGTAAATAAATGGGCAATCCTTCAAGCTCGTATACCTTCGGTGTGTGTAAAGGCATCCCATATACTTGCACCCCTACCACCCTCCTTGCAAGCACCTTCCACCTAGAATAAGAACCAAGAAGTTAAATGCCTGATTGAAAAAATTTGGTATCATGTTTATAAATATTAATCATCTAGTGCTCAAACCAGAACATTAATCTGTGTTGTCCATTTGGTCAACAAAAAATAATAAAAAATAATAATAAGTGTTGTCCTTGTCATAAATTTATCATGAAACATTTCACCCAAAAAAAAAAATTATCATGAAATAACTCAGAATGACTTCCCTACTAAGATCAGTTTGATTCTAAATAAATTTAAGTACAGTTTGCAAACAGCTGAGTTGAATATCTATCTGAACCATTAGAAGTAGCAACGTCATGGAATATCATTCTAATAAAATAGAAACTCGCTAAATTGTTGCATTTACTTTCACCCTGCCTAATATATCATAGAGGGAAAGGCATAATATGGAGAAGTGATGATTATGGGCAGGCAGGACACGATAGTCTCCATCTCCAGAACCTTATTTGACAAAATCAAAATTTTTCATTCCTGCCGAGCCTTTCGGTTCACATGATCTTGATAATTTACTCAGAAAAACTAAAAATGAACAAGTATCTGGTCAAGTTGATATTCATTTACGTAACATTTTCACATATAAAAAAAAAATATCTCAATCATCTAAGAATATAATTCAAAAACCATAAAAATTTACTTGGACAGAACTTTTTCTTGCCGCATAAATTGTCCGCGGCGAACACAAAACAGTAAATACCCGGATCAAAATTAGAAAGACATGAAATCGTGCAGGAAAAAGACTGGAATACCCATCAAGGCATGCATTATTGCATACACATACAGTCTCGTAAGAAATTTCAGCAGATTCAACAAGAGAGTTCAATGTGGAAAAAGAAAAATGAAAAGAAGGAAAACCCCTTGGACATCCAGATCATTATTTTGCCCAGAAAAATACAATAGCATCAAAATTGCACACTGCTGTCACAGTCACCAATGAAGTGGTTGAGGTGCATCCGATCACAAACCTGGTATGATGAAGTTGCAACGCCGAAGACAAAGTTGGGAGGGAAGTCGCTGCGAGAGACTTGCTTGTTGACAAAAGCATTTTTGTCCTCAGCATTTTCATTCACGAATTCTTCCCTCTTCGCCATTGCCAAATCGCTGTCCTCTCCTCTTCTCTACTGATGGCAAAGAACTTTGTTATCCCTCTCCAGACCTGAAAGGCTGCACAAGTCTCAAGTCTCAACTAACAAGCAGGCAAATTAGTCAGCGCCTGAGCATATATATAGAAGACCCACATGAGAAGTTCAGGAGGGGAAGGAAGGACTTCATGACTGGTTTTTTTTTTTTTTTCCCCATTCAATTTGAAGTAATTTGAAGTAATTTTAAAGAATTAGAGCGTGTCTCCGCTGTGCAGGCATTTATGAGACAGGGCAATTATTTATCATCTGTAATTAATTTTGTTCATCCTCCCTGCATTCACTATTACTCCCTCCATTTTATAAAATAATTTTAAAAAAATTTGTTACCTTAAAATATAAAAGAATTTAAAAAAATAAAATTTTATTAATAATACTTTTCAATATTACCCTCCAAATAAAAAAAGAATTAAAATAATATTATAATATAATGATTAAACATGTAAGGATATTTTTAAAAATTTATTTTTTTATTTTAAAAAAGTAAACTTACAAAGTGTTATTATTATATTTTATTGATATGCACGATTTGATTTTAAATTTTCTTATAATTTGATATGAATGATTGATGAGTATTAAATTTTTTTAAAATATATTAAAAATATACTGCCTTCATACTATTTCCTCAAATTCAAAATATAAAAAATTTTTAATAAATATAAGGGATAAAATAAAAAAATATTTTTACAAATATTAAATAACTTATATTTTAAATTAAGATTAGTTAAAGAAAATGTTTATATTTTAGACAAAAAGACGAGGCCATTTTTCTATCACTCTTTATAATATCTTAACTTTTTAAGTTTGTTTTTTTTTCTTTAAATCATTAGCTTCTACTTAAAATAAGAGATATTTTGATATATTAAAGTCTCCTAATAATCAAAATTTATATTTTTCTTATTTTTTTAAAAAATATCATAATTACACCCTTTTATTTTAAAAAATCATAAAAATACAAAATTTGATTATTTGAAAACTTTAAGATATTAAAATACCTTTTATTTTATATAAAAGTCAATCATTAAAAAAAAACAAATCCAAGAAGTTGGCACAGTGTAAGGACATCAGAGCAAGATACATTAGGGGCTGTACAATGATCTATGCATCTTCTACAAGTTTTCAAAATACTGGGCATTCAATAATCTTTATAATTATTTTTTAAATATACCTCTATTTTATTTCTTACTTTTTTAAAAAAAGATACATTAAAATTTTAATTGTTATTTTTAACGAACTTATGTTGAAGGTTTAATGTGTTATAATTAGAAAATATAAAATTTCTTAGGAGACTAAGGTTTCACCTATATTTTTAAAAAATGTGGATTAATTTCCAATGCCTTACACTGTAGTTCAGATAAAGTAAGATATTTTGATTTTTTAAAATGTAATAAATAATAAATAATATTTTTTTTAGGATCACATTTAAATTGTTTTTGCAAGTCCAAAACCCTAACTGCAAATATGCTTCTTGGTTAAAAAAAAAAAAACATTTGCCCCTAATCATATAGACAATGTATAATAAGCGGATATAGTGTTGTTCATGTATAAACCTTGTCAATTTTTTATGAACATTATGTTGTATATACACTTAAAAAATTTATACATTATTATTCAACATACTTACATGGATTATGTGTAATAAATGAATATCATATTGTTTATACATAGACTTTATCACGTTCTTTACTTATATTGTGTTGTATGTAACATAGGAAACTCTTAGATTATTGTTGAACTTAACCACAAATTATGTGTGACAAACGGACATTATATCACAAATGGATTTTGTCACATTTTTTACAGACATTGCATTGTGCATACACGTGGAGAATTTATACATTTGAGACATATGCATCTTTCCGCAAAGTAATGTATTTGCATTTAGGGCTTTTTAGCCTACAAAAACAATGCAAAATATATTAGCCTTAAATGTGATTCTCTCTCTTTTTTTTAAATGCCCTTGATTAGTAATAAGGTTTTTTAAATAGAAAAAAATGTATAATATCATTAATTAATCTAATCTATCTAATATCCAATCTTCTAATCTAATCCTCTAATCTATCTAATGATATTCTAAAGTATAATGACATATCACTGTAGATTTATGAGTTAAATCATTGTAATTCTACAACGATGAATTTTTTTTTAAAAAATATATTTTAAAAAATTAAAGCTGCCAGCAACTAAATGACATAACTACAGGATGTGCGGGTTAATCAATGTAGACATTCTACAGTGATCAATTATTTTTTATTAAAGAAATAAAAATGGTTAATTTTTTAAAAATAATTTTTCAGTTTTATAAAAACATGTTTAAAATATATTTTTTAAAACATATTTTAGGTCTTGAATATTTAATTTATAAATAATCATAAATTTTGATTTAATTTATAAATAATCATAATTTTTAAAAATAAATTGTTTACATTTACACATACTACGTATTTTTATTTTTCAGAGAAATAAATTTACAATTAAAATATTTTATATTTTTAAAATAAAATATGTTTAATTTTTAGGACAAGATTTAGGTACTTAATCCTATATATTTAATATATTTTTATACAATGAAATCAAAATAAATGAATTATAATTTGTTAATAATATTTATAACAATAATTTATTATAAAATAAATAATTTATAAATGATATACATATTTTCATTTAATTGGAAACAAACACAAGGTTAAGTATATAAATTTTTTCAGTTTTTTAATATACAAGGGGTAATAAATTATACTTAAAATAGAACCATTTGTTGTCTTCATTTTATGATATCATTTTACTACATTTTTTATTCATGTAAATTCTACTTAAATCAGCTTTTAATTTTTCAAATAAATTATAAATTTTCAACTAATAATTTTTGTAAAATTGCAAATTAGTTATCAATAGGAGGGAGTAGAATTTAATTTGTATAAAGTGAAGAAACCTACAACAAAGTAAGGAGTTATTTATATTTTTTATGTGCAATGCGATAAGGAATCCTAAAATAAAACAAATTATTATTTATATATATAGGATAATAAATTTTTTAAACTAAAACATGTTATTTAAAATTTAATTTTTTCGTGGGGATCAAACTTTCGGATGGGCTAACAAATTCTAAATTGATTTGTATGAAAACAAAACAAATAATTGTTTATTTTTTTATATGTATAGCTTTAAGAAATAATTAAGTTCTTTTGGTCAAATTAGTTAATTAACAAGTTATGCCAATTGTGTGTAGATTGATTTGTTCTATATGTGAAGTAAGAAATGAAGCTTGTAGTGAATCATGAGTGGTAGTAAAGAGTTTATAGGTAACCTTGTTTTGACAAAAAGATTGAAGTAACCAAATAACTTCCTTTGCTTGATTATCTATTGTAACTATTTAAAAATATGAGTATTGTTGCATGAAAATATTTTAAAATGAGCATGTTTGCTAAGTGAATGTTTAATACATGAAAATAATTTATAATGAATCAAGTTTATGGAATCGCATGTTTTTCAATTATATATATATATATATAAAGAGGTAATTTATAGGAAAGCATGATCATAGAGGTCGAGTTCACCTATGTAGAGATGAAGAGAAAGAACATATGGCATATTCTTCTTAGTGCCTGATGGGATGCAGTATTGGAGAACCGTATCTCTTAGTAACCTTCAAGGTGTAGTGTTAGAGATTATCTCTTTGGTACCTAATGAGGTGTGGTGTTAGAGATTTGGACTTCTTAGTATCAATGTGATGTAGTGTTGGAATCAATGATAACCCAATGTGTGTGATAGGAAAAACCATAGTTTGAAAGTGAGATAGAATACATTTGGTATGGTGATTCTACCATTGAAGGTAAGCTCAGGACTAATAAATATGTGTACCTTAGTCTAAGGTGAGCTTATAGTTTCGATTCGAGATGATTTAGAGGTTTAGATGGTAGCAATCATGCTATAAGCTAAATATGGTGAAATGTTGTGAAAATGGTGATTAGTGGTATAACACTATATTGATATAGTCATTTGAAATGAAATCCTTGTTATATGTTATGTTTAAATGTATCTTATGTAATACTTACTTATGATTGCTTATTCTATTACTTATGGTTACATTTTATAGGTCATAATGGTGAGCAAGACAAAGGGAAAGAGTCAAGATTGACATAGTGTGCTATTGCTATGAAATATCTAAGTTTTGTATAATAAACACTATGCTTGTGTATATTATGTATATAAGTTGGCAATGACATTTTTTTATTTGCATGGGATAAACTAATATTCTGAAAACAAACTGGATGATGGACCGAAAAAGTTAGCAGGTTGTGATTTTTATTGTTTAACAAAATATTTTTACAATTTAAAAGAAATAAATTCTAAAATAAGATATATGTTTTATATTTTTTTGTTTGCCTGAGTATAACAATTTATATATTAAAATAAATAGTTAAGGTTTAATTTTACTTCTGTATTATTTTTTTAAAAGGGTTGGACACCTTATATTCTTAAATAAGACAATTTTACTCCTGAATTATTTTTCGAAGGAGCAAAAACCCCCTTCCATTAATCAACCGATAATTTTTTATTTTTTGCTAACGTAACATGTGCGTGTGGCTCACGCATGATGATAAGTAAGATGTGACATGTTTTTTTGTGCTAATTTGTTCTTAATCTCTTTTTTTAGGAATGCTGAGCATCATAAAGTCTTTTTTTTAGCGCTGGACACCAAAAATCTTGTTAATTGAATAAATATTGTTAAAATATTAAGTATTTTAATATTTAATAATTTAAATATTATTATTTAAAATATTACACCACCCAATTTAATATTTTTATATTTAAATATTATTTTTGCTAGCATTTTATAAATTTATATATTATAGATGACTTCTTTTTTTTTGATATCGATCTTTGATCTTCTCTCTGATACAATACTCATATCATTATGCCTTTTGTATATGTCAGAACTTACTTTCATTTTTAATATTGATTAAATTTTTTAATTTTTTTAGTCAACTAATGATCTTTTTCAAAAATATTACATTATTCAAATTTAATACTTTATGTTCATTGCAGTGTTAATAGTGTTTCGCCTAAAATGAAATGTCACTTACCAAGGGCCATAACTTTACATGGGCTGAGTAACTGAAGAGACATGCCC